TAAGCAAGAAAATTGGTTTATATTCAACAGATCTGCAACACTATGGTTAGAGTCCCTGAATGACATGGCTCAAAACCGTTTGCAATGGCGCAGGCACATCCATTCTTTGTGTTCTGTCAAGTCCTAACCTTCTGATTTCCACATCACTTCTATCCTTCTCTTTTTAGATTAACCTCCCTGAATTATACTTCTTGAATAAGATATTCGTACCCTAATCTTTTCCATTACTGCGAATACTTGTACTGCCACTACTGCTATGGGATTTGAATTGACAATTACATCTCTGTGCTAATGTAGTATGGCAACTTGAACTGATGTACTTACGTACGGAGTTCTATGTTGCTGTTGATGATTTGATAATCATGATGATCTGTAACAGTAAAGCAATAAAGTCCTCACATTAAAAATTGATTTAATCAGAGATTATCAGCCTGATTTAGCTGATAGACTAGATAGATTATTCCAGAAATTTTTCATGATGAATTAGTTTAGTCTTAGGTAATCATGGCATTTCCTATTATATAATGCCTATTATCAAATGTTGTTTTGTGTGGTTCATCCATAATACAGATAAGGCAAATGATTCACAACAAAATTTCCGCCTTTAAATTCTGAAAGTTTCATAAGTGTGAACTGCTGACGAACCACAGATTATTCCTGATGTCACACCCTAATCCTAGTAAGATAATCAATGAAAACCAAGAGAAAATGAGATGCAGCTTCATCCTAGTGTAAGATTCCTCATCAATTGGCATCCACGACACTACAGGAAATTTAGGCCTTTTACATAACTCGTAACCTTTAGATGGCATAGTCGCCATACAGGATTTTAGTGCAATCTGATTTCAACTAATCTCTGCTCATGATGAACATTGAACTTAAATAACTGGAAAATGTACTTTTTAAATTTATTGATTTTATCATTTGAGCGTGTAGATTAGTTTGTTCAGGTTATCTTTGACGGACGTCAACACTTACCATCAATGCTAAAACGTATCAGCAGTTTTTAATGAGGACAACACGAAAATGTGTTACAAGACAAGCTCTTACCTGGCACCATCAAGGTAAAAGGAAAAGAGGAAGGCCAAGGAACAAATTATGCCGAGAAATGGAGACAGACATAAGAAGAATGAACAAAAATTGGACAGAACTGGAAAAGGAAGCCCAGATCAGAGTAGGTTGGAGAATACTTGTCGATGGCCTATGCTCCATTCAGGGTAACAGGCGAAAATAATTAAGTAATCATCAATTTTTTTTTCTTAATGCTAAATACATCAATTATATCATGATAATTTATTTACTGTTTGAAATGAAATACTACATAAAGTAAGTAAATACATGATTTGAATAATGTATGCCAATTAAAAAAGTTACTGAAATTATCAATAGTACAAAAACAAAAAAAGGCTTAACAGCTGTATTCTCACAACCTAGTAATTGTTAGTAGTCGGGTGAAAACTATTTAACTGGTATTGAATATAAAACAAGCATATGTCTTTGGGGAAGAAAAGTACAATACTATTCAAAATTCAAACTAAATTTTCCGAAAAAGAAACAATCCGAATAAATTTCAAAAATTTCCTTGTTCAGTATATTTTCAAATATGATATAACCAATGGAAAATAATGGATAAAATATGCGTATATATTTGATTTATAAAATCACTGAAAATTGAACTTCTCTACGTAAGTTATGTTCAATATCAAATTAAGATATATTACTTTATTAGAAATTCAGAGTTCATTCAATTAGTTTGTATTTTTGTTGAATGTATATAACATACACATACGCTACTTCGTCTACATAACCAATAGAAATATGCGTTTATATATTATTCATAATATCATTGAAAATTGAACTACATGTTCAAGATCAGATTCAAATCTATACTTTGTTAGAAATTTACGTTCATTCAACTAGTTTTTGTTGTTAAATGCAAATAGCAATTCACATGTTATTTTACAATCATAATATCTTAATTTCAAATGTTTTTTTGTAAGCAAAATCACAATCAAGCCTAATATGTGATTATGTGTACATACACATAAAAGCAAATCAATAAGGTGATCATGTAAATCATTCAGAAATTAATTCATCAAAAAAGGTACAAATTAATTTCATAAACAATAAAACTGCTTCTGTTATATATATTGATAACTGAAATTAAAAATATCATGGAAGAATAAATTATCTTATAAACATATATAGATAGATAGATATACACTAACAAATAGATGAATATATATACATACATTTATACATAATCAAAGAAAATAATTAATGCAACTCACTGAGCTCTTCGTACTTTCGTTAATGGAGAAGAACTAGTACCACCTACAATTTCTGCTGCTTTTTTTCCGGTAGTAAATATAACCGACATAATTTCTTTTCTTGAATTTTTTGTTACAAAATTAACTTAATTATTTGAAAAAATAATAATAATAACAGTTCAATGAAGAAATAATCTATGACATCTATGTTACGCGAATTTTTTATCAGTATGAGTTTAAATAGAGAAAAAAATATATAACCGATTTTATAGGATTATTGTATTCTGCTCTCAATTCAGTGAACAGTGTTTTCTCAATTTGTCATAACAACCGATCAACTGATTATTTATTGGTGCATTATGAACAATAGTTCTCATTTGTTATTTACATTGGATAATTTTGTTATTATTGTTTTTGTGTTTTTAAAATTGGAAAGTACGTGTTATGTATGAACATACATAGGAAGTATACAATATTAGAAAGTTGAATTGCTAAAGATGAATATACTATTTACAATAAGATAACTATGTGTAGGATATTCTTTGTGTGACCTTTAAATTTTATTCCCTATTATCAAATGAACATATATGAATTAACTAATAAAAAGTAATAGTAATAGTAATAATAATGAAAATAAAAATAATAATAACAACTTATTTTTGTGTTTAATAGATAAATATACAATCGAAACTTAATAATGTGAGAATTAAGAAAGGTGCCATTTTCTAAATAACTTTTAATCATAAGATAATTTACTTAAATGAGAATTAACAGATGTTACAATTAACATGTAAAAGTTAATGATGGGGATAACTCATTATTTCTGTTGCATGGAGAAACTTCTTTTAGCTTTATTTTAACAATAATCAAGTTGATTACAGTCTAGATAGACATTCATCTTATTCTATGCACTTTTCTTAAGAAAATATTTTATCATGATAACTAATCGATACGATCAGTAAATAAGTAAATATATATGCATATTTTCAGTTAGAGCATTGGAGATTTGTGTTTTTACACATTTGAAATCATCAATCAATGATTGTTAGATCACCATTAGAAACCTAGAAGCACTGGACGGCCGTTTCGTCCTGGTATGGGACTCATCAGTGGCAGTGAGCATTTTAAAACTCCTGCACCTCGAAGGATTCGAACCCGAGACCTTCGGTAGTGTGCGTGAACAATATACTTTGTATACTCGTCATAATAATATGAACATTACTTTTGTTTGTTTTTCTAAATTACCATTTATTTATTCTTTCGAAAAGGGGTTATTTTATTCTAATTTTTAACTTGTTAAATTATCTTTATAAAAAAATTTGTCTCATCTGAAGAGGTTTAAGTTTGTAAATGGCTGTCTTATTGACATTTTTCTGTAGATGTGCTCTCTAAATCACCTGTTTGGGAAATACGGATAGCATTTACAATTCTTTAAAAATTAACAGTGTTATGAATTATTCATAATATCTTCCATCACACTAAAAGGATTGTCGAAAACGGTAACTTACTTATAAGGAGTAAGCTAGTTTTCGTTTGGGTTGTGAATTGATTAAGCATATCTTTATCCCTTGACATACATTTCAGGATGCCATTCCTATATCAAGCGAGAAGTAATGATTAGTTGGACTGAAATGTACTTTGAAATGTTTTTTCATGAGAAAAGAATGTGTCTGAGAATATAACTATGACATTTTAACCTGTTACTTAATGATCCTAAGAATAAGAGTGAAAAATGAAGTGCAGTTTTGTATTAACTATCGTGAAATGTCGTATACTGGTTTTCGGTGTAAGCAGTCTACCCTTAGAGCGAACTCCAGCGAGAAATGTAATTAAATAACATCACAGAAATCATGGACTGATCAATGTTAGACCGCCATTGGAAAACTGGAACCTCTGGACAGCCGCTTAGGTACACTGCTTAGACTCATACTGGTAAGAAACGGACATCCGAGGCTTCTAACTTCTTGAGAGTTGTCTAACAGTCTTCATTTCATGATTTCAATAAGACTCAACCCTATACTTATACTGAAATAACTGTTCTAAACGAATACTGAAATTACAGCAGTCCAAATTTTATGAATTTAATACCAATAACAAACAAAATGACCATTGTTTCAATGGATTTCCATCACACCGCAGTCACATTTTTCACTTGATATTTCATAACAGTAACCTGTCCGTTTAAGTAGTAAAGATATATGGAGTTGTATACTGATAAAAATTGTTTTATGTAACTTACATATCTATGCGAACCCGACTAGCGCTTGAAGACCAGATTATCAAACTTCAGTGACTAAGAATGACTCATCACTAGTCTCAGTTTCATTATAGTCCTCAATGTATTTCTAGATAAAAATATAGAAAAACTGTGTATTATAGTTATTGATCTAGTGAAATGAACTTACATTACGTAACAAATTTTAGTGTACAATGGGTTAAGGTGCTTTGTACCAACACATAATTACATCTATCTTTTATAAATTTTACTATTTTGATAAAAGCAGTGGATAACCCGAATGTACAAAGATTACGTATAATATAATAACCCATTTATCGATAGACAAATCAATTAGTAATCGTCATTTGAAATGTTTACAAAATAACCACTCTAGGATTGGTTATTCTCTTTGTCTGAATTAAAAAATGTGTTATTTGGGATGAGTAGTAATCAATCAGAAAAAGATATTTATATTATTGAGTCAGTCGAATTACATTATTTACTCATTTGTCATGGTGGATAAAGGTGAATTGGATGATGATATTCATTCTGGGTCGCAAAAAACATGGAAATATATGTTTGGAAAATTTAATTTAAGCTTAAGGAAATCTAAAACAAGTACAAATGCATATGCAAATGAGAATGATGATAAACTGGAAACAAATGATCGATTTTCAAAACGATTTAGTAAATCATTTAGAGAATCTAAAAGGAAAACAAAGGATTATTTCACTTCATTAAAATATGCCAAAGAAATTGAAGACAAGAATAAACAGTAAGTTAAGTATTTGTATCTTGATTGTGTTTATTTATTCGGATGTTTGTGAAGTTTTATCTAAAATTTAAATAATATTCGTCATAATATTAGATGTTTATAAAAGAGGAGTCAATTGGATTCATTCTATAGAGGTGTGATAATGACACTTATTTGATGAATAACTTCATAATATTTTTGTAGATAACAATGATTTATCAAGGCGTATTTTGTATCGAGACAAAGTCACCTTGAAAGTAGTTAGAAATTAAGCGGTAATGTTCTTTTATAATAGCATTGCATATATGAACAATATGTCATAGTATACAGTCCAGGATATTATGACACTTGATTTATAACAAAGAACACTTTTTTACTCTGTTGACGTATATATAGAATGTCTAACTTATAAATTATCAGTATCTAGTTATATTTCATTTAACTTATAAATTGTAGAGCATTCGTTTACATACAAAAACAGTTAATTTTAAAATGCTAAGTTGCCGATTTAAGCTTACTAATATATATTTTAAAGTATTAACTTTCTGGTAAAAATACTGTTGCACGAAATTAGTCACATGAACGTCTAAACTAAACTAGTCTACCTTGATTGTAAACTAACCAGCAGGAAACATCAGGCTTTCTTGAATTGAGATTGTTGATGTTTGGATGTTTTTGTGAACATCACTTCTATATTAATCAGCTAATAAAGTATATGAGACAAGCTTGTTAATCAGTCTCTTTTTATGTTCACAACTTGTAAAAAAACAACAAAAACACAACGATATCATGTCATGTTATCAAAATAGAAGAAAATGATGAATTTTTGATACCATCTGGTTATTTTCCCAGAAATATTTACTTATAGATTAATAAAATAGGAATGCACTGTGTTAAAGAAAAGCATTGAACATGAAGTAGCCATGAATATGAACTTTTAAACTGTTTTAACATAAATACTTTCTAAGGTTGTTAAAAATGATTAGACATAATAGGCAATAATCTAAGGCATTGTATATTTCTTCCTATTTTCTATTATGGTTATCGAAACCTTGAAATTTAAAGGATTTTCTGACTAGTGCACAATGTTATATTCTAAAATAAGTTCTATGAAGAATTATTTTTTAACTTTAGCGGATTATTTTTTTATGATCCAATTGTGTGACTAGCAGTTTACTTGAAATACGTTTATAAGAGAATGAATATTATGCATACTTTCTCAGACAATAACAAAGTAGGGGTATTTACCTATTTGTTTAGAAATTCTGTCAGTTTAAAATGTTTACTATGGTATAAATTCACTTATCTAATAGATGTGACTTGAAAAACCCTGTATCTTACAAAGAGAAAAATTCAGAAAAATGTAGTCCATGTCTTCAACGTACATCGCAAAATCGGTTTAATAATAGTATGAATAATCGCAAGCGTAATTTTGAACTTTTGAAAAATGCAAAATATCTATTTGGATCACAGGAAATATCACCAAAGACCCAGGTAAGAGTATGTATAATTAGTATTTGATTGTGTTGTCTAGTTTCATCAAAATATCTGATTACTTATTTGATTAGTCTAAAAAGTTGTAGGAAATTTACGTATCTCTATTGTGACGAGTATTTAGTTGTTGAGTTGAGTGAATTTTCGATACCTTATATTAGCAACTTGTATAAAAATGATATCCTTAAGTTTGTTTTAGCCCAAAAATCAGTGTACCATACTAACTTTGCTTAGCTCAGATTTAATTTTTGAAATAAAAGTCTATCAATTTATTTCTTTTTATGCCACTCTTAATTCACCAACTATCAAAACCTGTATAGCTGATAGATTGACTATTTTCATTGTAAACAGTTTAGCACTCTAATAATCAACTGCATTTTTCACAAAATGCTATTGATCTAAACATAGAAATAACAGAGAAAAAGGAGAGAACTTAATTTAGTCAGTAAAATTAGAATTTCTTTGCTAAATTTAGGTCTAACGGAAGAAAGAATTTCAGTTGAAATTAATGTTCATCAATTTCAGTGTTCACTATTTACTGAAACTGTACTCAATCTAATAAACAATTAGATTCTTTTTATAAATTGAAATATACATGGTTTCATGAGTACTCAATGCATATCATGGAAACTACAAATCATACTACGCTGTCCTATAATTCAGAAATTTATATTCATTAGAATGATTCCTATTGTTCTTTGCTATAAAAGATCTATTCATGATTATATAGCATCTGGTTGCATGACCTATTTAGTAATTAAACAATTAATAAATAATCTTTATGTACATTTCATTTTTATTTATGATACAATATTTTATGCAGTTAGCTCAGTATGATGTGAATAAAGAATTAATGAACAGATTCCGAACACTTCAAATAAATGAACTGGAAAAAGAACCAGTTAGACGAAAAAAAGTACATAAAACTTCAGAGAAATGTGTACAGACGTCATTAGTTGAGGAGAAGACTATACCAACTGAGGTATGATATCACTATTTTTAAATATATCTTATTCTAAGCAAGATTAAAAATCTACATAAAAGTGTATTCTTCAAAGAAATAGTTCCTAAATGCCTTTGTACAGCCGATAGTGGGGAGATTCTGTTCTCGATCTCGAAAGGCCCTCATATAGTGATAACTATAAAGCCAATACCACAGAAGTACTATTCACTGTGTTCTCTTAGCGGTCTGTTGTTTACGAAGTTAAGAGGCCTTATAGCGAGTGCCGAAGGCTGTAACCATATTGGTTGGTATAGATGAGCCACGTGAGGGAGTTGGAAAACCCTTACACTAAAACCAATGTTGCACATGTTCCACAGAATCCTGACGGAACGAATAGAGTATGAACCTAATGTTAGTGATCGGCTGCCATGGAACTGTATCTCTTTACGGTGCCAGACTGCCTTGCAGATTATACTTTTCGGTCAATGGCTCTTGGTTCTGGACTTCCATGAAAACCAACTGCTTCTGTTTGGGCGACCGGGCAGTATCTCAACCCACTCACGAATCCAATAGTTTGTTTGGCGCATAAATATTTAGGTGACCCTTCGTACTAATGTTTATGTGTTTAAATAATAATTACTGAAAAGTGTGATCACAATGCCTAATCAAATCTTGATGGATTTATGAAGTGAATTAGTTAAGTGTAACTATATTTAATTACACAACTAAATTATGCTTTTCATGGTTATATATAATATGCTTGTTCCTCATACCTTATTAATCATTTTGATTGTTAACCGATATTTTTCACTCCATTTTAAAGCTAATTTATTTGTATTGGACGAGCCCTAAATAGAACGAAACGCACTTCCTGGATTCCACTGCCGGTCACTATCCACCTCTGTTAATTTTAAAACATTTACTACACATTGTAATCATCAGTCATTCATCGTTAGAGCACCATTAGAAACCTGAGAACAATGGAAGGCGGTCCCGTCCTGGTGTGGGACTCACTAGCAGTGCGCATCCACGTTTCCTGCTACTCGCATGATTCGAGCCAGAACCTTTGGTCTTACGCGCGAACGCCTAACCTCTGGACCGCTGAGTTGTCATTCCAAGATTTTTCTCACGAAGCTAGTCACTAGTGGGCGCAAGACCGAAGATCCTGGGTTTGAATTCTGCGAGTAGCAGGAGTCATAGATACGCGCTGCTGATGAGTCCCATACTCGGACAAAACGGCCGTCCAGTGCTTCCAGGTTTCTAATGGTGGTCTAACAATGATTGATCGATGATTTAAATGTGTGAAGACACTGATCTTCATAACCTTTATCATGACAAAATGTAGATGATTTTTAGTTTAAATTGATCTCGATACGAAATATGGCCATAGACAACAGATTGATGCACGACTGAGTGAATAAGTTAAAAATTGATAATAATATCGACTAACATACAGTCAACATTATTATATAAATCAAGTTAATCCATAGAAATTACGGACACTTGGGTTTCATTCAGTCGAATCAGTATCAGTTGTAAATAGTATACATTAGTATATAAATGTACATTGATGAATTAGCAATTGCACTAAAAATACTTTTGTCAAGTTATGGCTTATTTGATTAATATTCCAGTTCAAATTTAGCTTAATTTTTAAATATTCGGTGGAATCCAACCTACTAATTCTAAACCATTTTCATATTTGATGATAAATTCATATTAATTCAAAATTAATTTCTCGAAAGCCTAAGATTTATCTGTTTATTTTTTCACAAAGGAAATGAAAGATGTCAGTAGCGAGCCATCACCTAGTTCACAGTCTTCATCGGGTTACGTTTCGGAAGTCATGAATTTACTGAATTCTCCAAGTTCTCCTGAAAAACCTGAATTTTCAGACAGGATCACTATACATTCGATCAAAACTCCAGATAAACAGCAGCAAGTTGAACCGCTCATCACCCCAATAATTAAATCTAACCAATCCTCTGATGTGGGATGTTTTAAAGTACCACCGCCGCCACCGCCTCCACCTCCACCTCCGCCCATTCTACCAGCATTTACCACAGCTTCAAACTCTTCAGTTGTCAATGTACCTGGTTAGTGCTATTTAGTATATTTACTTGTCTGTGGATATGTATAAGGCAACACTGTGTATTTTAGTGTACAGGTACACTTTTTTTTACACTTTTCCAGCCTGAAAGATTTAGGTTGCATTTGCTAAGGTCTATTATGCCATAGATAAACTTCCATTTTTTACACTGATCACAAACGGATTTTATATTTTAGAGTTCTACAGATAAAAAGTATAAGCTTCCTAAATATACAACTGTCTTCCTGTGAACTAGTGGTAGTAGTCTTTATTATTATTACTATTGTTATTATTATCATTATAGCATACACACAATGTTTCGTGTTAGATATATTTCATTGAAATTCTATAAAATATGTAATGATGGGCTTTTGAAAGCAATCTGTTCTTCAACTGATAATCTTGTTGTAATGGTATTTGCCTTCAGTTTTAAGTTTACATACTGAGATCTGAGTCTATAATCCCATGTTTTTTGCAACTAAATGAATATAAACACGATTTGACATTGAATCAACTCACACCTACTTTATTTTTTAAATCGTATTATATTTACTCATCAAAAACGTTTTGTATCTTTTGCTTACAAGTTACCTTTGCTTAAAAAGTTAACAGTATTCCGAAAGCCTGAAACTGACGAGAATATCATTATAGATCAACTTTCTTTGAACTAACGACTATAGCTTTGAAAACGGAATAGTCTTAAACTGATTTTACATATTCACATATAATAAGATCACAATTGTAGCAATATAGGTCATTCACAAAGTGGGTAGATGTTCGCCTATTGGCAATGTATTTTTGAAAAGAACAGTTTAGTGTTTTGTCAGTCTTAAAACATTTAATGTTTTGAATCGTACTATGTATGGTTACTTAATTTCCGTATTTCCTTTAAGGCGAATCCTTTGAATCCTGTAAGTATCATCAAACTACCTTGAGGCAAACTTAGAAATCCTTTCATTAAATAGCAGTATGTCAGATTTTTCCAACATTTTTGTTTCCTTAGCCATTGATCTGTATCATTTGTCTTGTTGATTGTTGTCGACTTGCTTCATTTGTTATGTCGGTTCAAGAGATAATCATTTTAAATCATATTGTGTATACCTGTTCGGTGACGTAAGGGGGTAAATTATTCTCGCAAACAATGTTTATTACATTCTGAGTAGTAATCTTATAATAGTTTAACTTTTTAAGATATTAACATGAGAAATAAGAAGGTTAATCAATGTAAGAAAAACTAATACTCAAGAGAAGATCATTCATGAAAAGGATGTTATTAGAACAGCTTCATCGACCAGCTTCTATGTCTATTGGTTACTTACACTTTGTTTGGATTTACAAACTGTGCAATTTATATCACTATTAATTGCATATTACAATTACCCATTAATGTGTGTGCGTATAAATGGAGTGGAGTGTGATGTAATTGTTTATATGTTTGAAACCTGAAATCTAATTTCTGCAATGTAGTTTTCTTGATAGAATGATGCTATAATTATTTCTCAACAATATTACATATTTCTAGTGGGTTTTTTAATATCACACTGTGTATATAATACACACACACACCACTATCTGTCTTCTGCTTTCACAACCGTCAATTAATTTTATTCATAGTACACAAAACTTATCACTGTTGTTCAACCTTTCGCCTACTCTGAAGTATCTAGATTTTTGAATAGATATCGTTACATCACTTTCTTGTAGAGTTTACTTCACTAAGCGATTTCGTTATTTGGTAGAAAGATTAATATTTATTATACTCGGTAAAAGTTGAACCCATATTGTTTACTAAAGTTTTCTCCTATCTTGGAACAAATTCTCTGTGCTTAGTCTTGATTGGTATAATAAATAGTTTTATGAATACTTCAACTTCCTTCCTGCTCAAATGAGTATTGATGAGAAAATCCTACTAAGGATATACATTCTATGAGTGATGAATGATTTTAACTTTGTATAACATTATTTTAACTGCATTATTTGAACTTCAATTTGTTATTTGTCAGAATCACCAATGCCTTACAATATGAAGCCGAAAAGAACGTTTTCTGCGCCATTTAGGCTGAAAAAGGCCTGTGTATCTCCGGTAAATCTAAGGTTTTTCTTAAAATTCATTTTTAAATTTCTTACAGAGTTAGAAATAAATCATGACTGTTGTGGTGTTTCGTTCTATAAACTGGATGTTTTGTCCCAGAGAACGAAACAAACACCACAACAATTATTCGCCTGAGCTATAAATTTTCTCCACTATCTCAAAATTCATGACTAAAATGTCGTTACTGTACTACCAAAGAACTAAATACATATGGACAATAAACTCATAAACACTGTAGAATAATGTAATCTCAGTCACTTCGAGTGTATAATATCACAAGTTGTTATGAACATACTAAAAGGAATTTTTCGTAAAAACGTAAAACTTTAAATTAACTGGAAATGGATTTGAGGGTAACATTACATTAAGGTTAAAGTATAAAACGATTTGCAGGACTACTCGATTCAAATAAGTTATCATAATCTGTCTTACTCAAGGAATAATAGAACTCACCATCTCTGACTGTTTGTCTAATCTGGTTTGTGAATAATTTAAAATTATTTATTTTAAAAGTACATTGAAGCCTGTATCCACAACCCCCTGTTCCAAGGAAATGGGAATATAGATTTATAGTTCAGTACCTTTACATAAGTTTCTGATTGTTCAAATATTTTTGACTATGCTTCAAATAGTAATTGGAAGCCGTTTTCACATGTATCTCAGTTTAACTCTGAACACGAAATTATCATGACCGTTTCGATTTGATAAGATCGATAAGTTTAAAAAAATAGTGGTACTGAAGTGAGGGAGTACTTAAAGTAAATTAATTCTTCACTTTGATCTATATCGTTGTCAGATTGGATAATAATTTCATTATTTTCTTTCTTGGTGGCTCCATAAAATAGTTACGATTTTAATTAATTTCCTTTTAATAGTTAAGTAAATCTCGTTTGAAAGAAAACTCCATTTGGGTACATATTGATGACAGTGATCTACTGAGTGAAGAATTCGTCCGTCAACTTCATAAAAGATTTCGGATCAAAGGAAATAAAGCAATGGTTAGTGTTGCGATTAATTTGCATTCTGTTCTTAACTCTGTGCTTCAAAATTTGTTTATTATGCAGGCTTGAAAAGTACATTGTAAATAATATTATTTGGTTATAAGCTATCGGATATGAGAACCTAAGATTTTAATTAGTTTATCATGTGTTGAATCATTAATTACAGATTATTTCGGTTTGTCATATAACATTTGAAACAAAATGTGTATGATGTGAGTCTTAATGAAGATGTCAACGCTAAATTATGCTTAATTCAATTGATTAGTTTCAATTCCTGAATTACAATGATAGATACTTTCAAAAATATAAATGGATATGTTTTTATATTAGTCAGCCATAATTACTAACCTTTAATCAATCATTTCAGTTCAAAGATAAGATGAAAAATGTTGTTGAAGCTTGTATTAAAGGATATTTTCGCGAAATACGTTTGCATCAACATCATCTGTTAACAACACAAAATACAACAAACTCTAAACTTTCATTGATAATCACATACAGATGTGTAGCATCTTAAAGTGACCGAATTCTCGTGATTGGGCGAAAGGTTTTCTACTTTTGCAAAAATGCGATATTTTTCCAAGATTTCTGTCAACAGAACAGTTAATTTCCTCCAATTTATCACTATTTCTTGATATTCAGTGGCTTAAATAGTTTACTTAACGGGTACATAAATATAGCTTCAATCAAACTTCTTTCAGTTATAATATATCTACATATGTAATGATGTGTATTATGTTCTCAAGATAGGAAGGTGTACTAATGAGCACTTTGTTAAATTTAAGATCGTGAAGTTTTCAATATATTATTATCCACTAGTTTTGTATGTAGTTTAAGAAAATTTGCTTTCATTTCCTCCAATTATTTTTAGTCATCAGATAGACTGGAAATAGACTGTGGGAGTACTTTAACATCTTTATTCAATACACCAAATTCGAAATCTAGTGTGAACTCGCGATCATCAATACAGTCAAGTGCAAATACATCGATAAGGAGATCAGTACGTTTTGGATCTCAGCGTTCTGCTTCTCGGACTCAAACTTTGGATTTATTGCCAGTGAAAGCAGCTCAGTCAATAGCTATAGCTATGGCATCAGCGCATTTAAGTCCAGAAAACGTAGCTCGAGCTATTGTTGAATTAAAGACGACAGTTAATTTTCGTCGCAGTAAACCCTTTTCAGATGAAAGTTCGAAACATAAAAGTGAAGAAAAATCTATCCGGTCGATACCTGACACTTTGTTGGATACTCTCATCAACTTTACTCCTCAGATGGATATCATACTGAAACTATCTGACGATCCAGTTGAAACCTCGGTAAGAGATTAATGTACTTATGTTACATAAGAAATCATGATAAATTGATCAAACAGCTGTATATATTTGTATTTAGACGATATGTTTAAGATATACTGATAACTTTCGCCAAGATATTTCACGATCTAGCTTAATCATATGTTATATAACTTCTGATAACCAATAAAACATTTAGATATAATTTTTTTTCCTTTTTGTAGAACCTTATTGAAGCAGATAAACTCCTTTGCATGATCTCCCAACTTCGTCACAGGCTACCTGCTCATCTTCATGCTTTACGCATGCTTCTCCGATTTGATACAATTGTTGATCAGTTAAAGCAGGCACTTTTATCTGCGTGTACATGTCTCTTCGAAATAAGACATTCTAATTCCTTGTGTCATGTTCTTTCATGTGCACTAGCTTTGATTAATGCTTTAAACGCCACTAGACAGTGTTCAGTTCATGAATCCAATCAGTTATTATCCGATCACCCAAAGCTACCAGCTTCAAATGGATACGTAAAACGCAAACCTTTTCTCGGTTTTGAAGTTAGAAACCTAGTTCGACTGGCTGATACTCGTGATATAACTAACCAAAGGAATTTAATCCATTATTTAGTAGAATTAATGGAACTCAAGTAAGAAATATGCTAACAAATTCTATGTTGGAAATAGTGTTTTAGTTTTCATTTATAGCACTGAACATTTTTTCCTTATTCTAAATCCGCTCACAGTAGGGAACTCCTACTGATCATCGTTATGATCATACAGTTATAAAACTGAAGAGTATAAAAATTAAGTAATGGCGCTATGGAATATTAATTTCAAGCTGATGGAGTTAAAATGTTTACTTAACTTATTATAATAAGTATTGAATTTCAGGATAAGTTTCCCTGAAAAATCTGCAGTTGAAATGGAACAACTCAATGCTTCCTCATTTTTAATTTCAGGAAATCAGGAAGAAACCATAGACGCAGATTTTGCGTGAGTTGGCAAGGTGGTGCAACAATCTTGAGGGAAATGATGCTCTCTATAAAATTTGTATTCTCATCTCCCAACCTTTTTTCTGATAATTTAACACTAAGTTATTCAGCTCAAGGATAATCTCTCGTCTGAACAAAAACTTTATAAGAGTTACCATTCAGTGATGAATAAATCTCATATTTGTTCACTTTTAGTGTGGATCAAATTTTATTACTTAATAAAAATAGCTGCTGACTGATATTTTTTCCACCCTGTGAATTGTTGAAGAGTTAAAACGTTCACCTATCGTACTTCATATTTATTGGAAGTAATTTAGCAGCGATGCTTATAATAAAGTTTGGTTATCAAGATAAGTAGAGTACGCATATTTTATAGAATTTTTGAATAACTAAAAATCACTCACATACAAAAATATTCAAATTCTTTCGATATTTTTTTTTAGTTTTACTAAAGAAGCTCATTCATGGTCTAATGAAATGCCTACATTAGATGCTGCACAAAGTTTATACTGTGCAAAAACAATTGAAGAGAAACTAGTTGAAATGAAACGTGATGTTGCACGTTTAGAAATAGATCTAAAAGCAGTTGGTGGAGGTGCCAGTTCGAACAACACGGAATGGGTGATTAAATCTAATTCAGATCCCAAATCAGATGCATTTAAAGCAAATTTAGCTTTTGGTTTAGTAGTGGGACAATTTTTAGCACATGCATTGCAAGAATTAAAGTTACTTAGTGAATTACACACAACATTCACCGAAAGATATAATGAGGTATGTATTTGTGCGATGCACATTTCGACAATTTCATTCTGTTAATTTACACTGAATAGGTATACTTTAATAAATTAACTAAAGATTATGTCATATATTTCATTCGTATATGAGTTCATCAGTGGTTAATTGAGTAGGATGTTTTTATCATTGAAACATCTGGTTTAAACTCTTTGTGATCTAAGTTTTTAGACGAAACTATTAAAGCACTGAATACTTTTCTCAGTCATTTCGATATTTAGCTGCCTATGTTTGCGACTTAGTCACATTTTATGTTCATAAGATCTCTTATTTCGCAATATAACTTCGAACTTGTGTATTTTTACTTTGATCAGTCATAAATTAGTAAAGAAATATGTATACAATTGTTTGCCGTTTCTTCAATAAGGTATACTACACATCCTGCATTCACCTCTTTCATTTTAATTGCGTATTATAACTTAACAGATGTCTATTTTAACGTATTATAAAAAACGAGACCATAATACGTGTATTTTTTGAGAGAATCAGATTAAAATACTCTAGCTTCACTAGTATGATATTTAAAATAAAGTTAAGAATGAAGTGAAAATTCTGGAAAGAGAAACAACTTCTATCACTGTCAACAGTTTAGTGCATTGAATTGGATATAGTACAATGAAAGTGTCCAAAAATATTAAACGTATGCTACTTTCAAAATTAATAAAGAAATCCGCTTTTGTATAAAATGTGGCTGTCGTTCTTTGAAGAGTTTACATTATCACTACCTCCGGATCATTACAATGATAATAATTCATTTTTTATTCACTTATCCGTATTGTAAATTGTACATTGTAGGTGTTGAGAATATTGATAAATATATTTTTGAATAATTAAGGTTTAGATGTATAGTGTAAAGAAATGTTTTGAAAACTGGTACCTTCCTACGGCTAAGGTAGCAAAATTTACGGTAGTGAATACAGCTATTATTATTTTTATTACTAATAGTAGTATTGAACTACTAGGTCATCGAATATTTGCTTGTAAATTCAGAATACTGCATAGAAGTAAAGGTTTCTACAATAATGAATGGTTTATATATCTAAGAAAAGACTGATCAAAGAATATCTTTTTTCTCGTATTCTATCATGTTATATTTTCGTGGCGTAAATGACTGATACCATGAACAAATAATAACAACAGCAATAAATCGTTTGCCTGAACAGTACTATAGACCAGTTCTATTTAAATTATTATTTTTACACATTTGAAATCATCAGTCAATCATTGTTAAACCATCATTAGAAACCTGGAAGCACTGGACGGCCGTTTCGTTCTGGTATGGGACTCATCAGTAGTGCATATCCACGACTCCTGCTACTCGCAGGATCTGAACCCGGGACCTTCGGTATTGTGCACGAACGCCTAACTCCTGATGAGTTTTCTTACCAGGACGAAACGGCCGACCAGTCGCTCCCAGGTTTCTAATGATGGTCTAACAATGATTGACTGATGATTTCAAATGTGTAAAAACACTAATCTCCATAACTCTAATTGAAAATATTATTTTTACATTGATAAACTGTTTTCTGAAATTTCTGCATCATATTTATTGAAAGCCTGTTTTTTATCATACGACATTCTTATGAAAAAAAGAATAAAAGACCGTTTTTTACACTGGCTCAGCCACGAAATGTATGTCTTCATTAGTGTTTCAAGCAGTCTTGTGATCAATTAACTGCTTTATTCAAAGTTGAAAATCTACTTCAAGGTCTTATTACAAAATAATGTCGAAAATATTAGTTTCGGCGTTGTATTTAGGGGATACAGTTTTCTAAGGTGTTCAACACGGAATAATACCCATCATTACTTTCTTTCATAATATATGATCCTAGCATTTCTTGACAAATTCTGGTTTGCATAATTTAACTTAGTATAAATTGTAATTTTTGGAAGATAGTCAACTTTGGTGAAACGATGTCATGTGACTATTATCCACATGTTACATTCATTTCTATATTCCTTTTTTTTTCAAACAACAGGTTGCTAATTATCTTGCTTTGGATCAAGCAAAATATACTGCTGATGAACTATTTAATGACCTGAAAACATTCCGAGAACTTTATCACAAAGCCTGTACATTTAAATGTAACTAAAAATTTTCATCCCTTTTATGTATTTTATATAGTAAATTCTTAAAGATAAAAGTCATTTTATTCACTGCATTGTGTACAATTTCATGTTTTTATTTTTTTTTTAATTTTTAAGCCTAATGATCACATGTTAATTTCCTTTGAAATTTTATTCAAATAAACTTTTATTCATCCCATGGAAATAATTCATAAATTAAACTGCTGATTTTATTCATTGTGTTTTCTATCTTCTTGATTTGTTATCTCATAGGTAAAATTCTGCAAAAATATAATATAGAATATGTGTATATTATTGAATAATACATATATATAATCAGATATCATTAATCCCTGTGCATTGATTCACTTTCGAAGACAGACAGACAGACAGATACAATGCAGAACTTCGTACGTAAGTACATCAGTTCATGTTGCCATACCACGTCAGCACAGAGACGTAACTGACAGTTCAAATCCAAGAGTGATAGCAATAGTAGAATTATTAGCAGCAATCGAAAAGATTAGGGAGCAAAGATATGATTCGAAAAGTATAATTCAGTGAGATAAATTTAGAAGGAGAAAGATAGAGATTATGAGGAATTCAGAAGGTTAGAATTAAAAAGCCCACAAAGAGTGGATGCACCTGCTCCATTGCAAACGATTTTGATCCATGTCATTCAGGGTGTCTAACCATCGATGGCTTTCGTCTCGCGGACCCCAACCAGGTAGCCTACATCTACCAACATGACTCAGTCCACTTGTCAGTGAATTCATGGATTCTTGCGATGTTTTGGTCTGGCCGCCCCTAACTTTCTCCTAACCTACTCCTACACTGCAAACATAGCTCGTCGCGGCAGTCGGTGGTTAATCCTATGTAACACATGTCTCAACCACTTTCGAAGAGCATTGATAAAGTCAGCTTGACACTTATTCTGATACAGAAAACGAATGGAGTAAACAGTGCATTATTTCGGTGTGTTAGCCACATTTTTCATGCCAGTCTGAAGTATCTCTGTGCCACTAAGTGGTAGATAATGGTAATAGAAGTTTTCGTCAAGACTAAAAATATGCACATACAGGATTGCGAACTTACTGTATAAAATGTAAAGTACATTCATGGAGAAATAGAGTTTTTATGATGAACAAAATTAAACTTTTGAACTGTTTCTCAATCGAATATCATAAAGCAACAATAAGGAGATTAACATAGTTTCAGTCTGTTTCTGCTGACTTTCTAATTATTTGACATTGTTCCAAAGTACTTCGTGGACCGTTATCCGATAAACTCAACCATACAGACTTCCACACATTGGTTCTTTGCCATTTACTGCATGACTCGTATGTTATAATATACATGAATTAGTTAGTCTCTAGGTATACATTAAGCGAAACTTTTAATACGACTGATTCCTTCGATTAGTTAATACTCACTTGAAAAACCTAAAAAATTGTGAGATTTCTGTTCACAATTCAAAGCTACGTTGTTTGTAAATATACACTCCTATGATTATTTTTCAAGTCTGTATGAACCTATATACTCTCCTGGTTTAACTAATATGCCATATAAATTATACATCGGCTCAAGTGTATGCTAGTACTTTGCTTAATTTTCATCTTATTTGCTATTTTAGTATAACTAAACACAAGGAAGAATTCGGATTTGAAGTACTCAGTAAGAATTATTACCATCCGGTTGCCTATTCTTTGGATTACAATTCTCAGAGATAGTCGATAATCATTTCCTCAGTACAACTTCATTCTCGATGTTGTTTCATATACGAAATGAGTACGACGTATGCGAGATTTGAAAGGTTTAGTTTGACTCTTAAGATTTCTTGAATGTTTGGTAATACGACATCTAAGTAAGAAACAATTAGTACATTTTTTCTAGCCCTTACAGACAACTTGGATTTACGGATGCGACAGTACTTTTTAAAATTTGAAAGGAATTTTCTGATAAATCGTTAGACTGAGGATGTCGTAGCGCAGTGAATATATGACAGCATCCAATATCATTAAGGCAGTTGCTAAATTCTTTTTCTGTGTAATGTGTTCTATTATCGGTTATTAATGATTTGGTTGTCTCTTCACAACTGAACACATATTTCATTGCTCTTCGAGCAAAATCTCTCCTAGAACTGTTAGTAATTACTACTTCTGTTCATTTGAAATATGAATCTCTAATGAATAAAACATAACACTGGTTTAGATTTAGTCCGTGAATACGTTGCTATGGCTGATGAAATCCTGGCCAAATATTCAAAGTATGATAATTGTTCGACGGTTTACGTAGATAGGTTGGAGAGTTTTTTGATTTCTGGAAAATAGTAGCATCAATCTCAAGCCACAAAAAGGTTTGAAGAGCCAGTGATTTCATTTTCTCTGCTCCTAGATGGGCAAAATTAGGATCGCCAAATACTGCGAATCAAAATGTTGAGAGAATAATTTCTACGTCATTAAATCTCCTGGGACGTTCAAGTTTAAGTGGTATATCCTTTATTTATTTCTAAAACGCAGGTGACCTACGCTTGTACAGAAGATTCTGGAATCTTTACACTGAAGACATAAGCATTCCAAAGCACTCTCAAATATCCTCCTCATCTTCGTCTATATCAACAGTCAATATGTGAACCAATATACAATCAGCCGTTCGAATTATGAACAGTGTGATAAGAAGTCTCCGTGGTATGCATTTTAGCCATTCAGTGCTCACTAATAAAATCATAGGCCCTTGATTTTAAATTCTATCTCTCGAGCATGGCTACAGATGATCGATAGAGTTACGTGGTCGGGTGGTCAGTAGATCTTCACGCCCAATGGTCGGGTAAAATAGGTAATCTTACACCAAACAAGTATTTATAAAGTCTTCTTATTGGGCATCCTCGAATGACCGTCTCGAATTGAGGGCATCCTTTTTCCCATTCTGCTCTTAAACCTCATTAAATCCAATCCGAGATACATCATCAGTGAGGAGAGATTTTTCAGTTGGTGAAAATGGTCGAAGAAGGCCTCACCATTTATCAGTCATAAGATGTTTCAGAGTATTTTCTCATGTCTTTGCTTTCGAAAAGACTACGTACTAGAAACATAGTCGAAAGGCGACGAAAACATTTGTGTAAGATTAGGAATAAACAGGTAGTAAAATCAAAGTACACCAATCCATGAACAGCGTGCTGAGGTACTCATATTAGATAGCTCTTGGATTAGTTGGCTCGGTAGACTAATATCGGGTTTAAATCACTAAGCATCTAGAGTATATTCTAAGCAATTCATAGAATTAAATTGGAAGTGTCGCCTGGATGGATTCAAAGCCATATTCGCATTACAGAAGCGTCTACATAACTTTATAAGACATTCATCATGCAACTCATTATTTTTGGCATGAACCATAACATCATTTTAATACGATTCTACACCATGGCTGATATTATTCTGATATACAACCTTCTGAAATATTGAAGGAGAAAAAATCCGTATGACATGAGTTTGTGTCGGATGAGCCATAATAGTGCATTATTAGTAATGAGCTTACTAGAGATTTTATCTGATGGAATTTTTAAACAGGCATCTTTTAGGTTTATATTAGAAGAACACTTAAACCCATGTAATTTTAATATGGTGGGTCTTCAATTTCCTCGGGGGCACAACTCCGTAGCAGTAGCCGAGTTTTCAACGTCAAGAGCTAATCACTACAAATCCTAGGTATTTTTCCATTTGCTTTAATCGGCCTCACCACGAGAGTAGCCCAAATAGATGTCTCAAATTAGATTATTATTCCTTTCTCAACCAGTTTATCTAGCAGATTATTCACAACCTTGCTTAAACAATCCGAAACTAGTCTACGTTTTAAGAAGACGGCTCTCACTTTAACCTAGGTGGTACTGGCTAGATTTTCATACTTCTTATATCCCTCAAGCACCGTTGGATCAGATGCTAACAGGTGCTAACAGAGAAATTACTGGAATATTAATTGTGGCCATAACGGGCATTCGGTATCCAATGACTGCACAACATTTATGACTAAAGGAACACTATTATGGAGAAACAGAAAATTTCACTTACAAATAGCTGACTCAATGTTATTGGTATCAACAGTAAATGAACAGGAATTTCCTATATGAGTACATATTTATTACATTGCGTGAGTTACTGCTGTAAGCAGTTTAAAAAGTGACAACTATTCAATTTTTTCATAGGCAGCCGGTTTTGATCCGTTATTGTTTCATGTATTCATAGCAAATGACTTGGAATTTTTACAAACAGTTTGTGTCTGATCTTTCAAACTTTGCAGCAACCAGAATACCGAAACAGATTTGGGCTAAGAAGATGAAGTTTTCCAAATGAAGGACGAGGTTTGATAAGCGAATGGGAATCGAAATGACTTTTCAAGCTATTCACTTGCATGAGTAAATTGGAATCGTCCTTGCTAGAAAACACCTATTGTTTCTGCAGTATAGTTGCAATTTTTGAGCTTGATAAAGTCATTACTATCTTCATAACAAAACAAAAGGACTGAGCCATCTGGAAAGAGCCCATAATTCGCATCAGCTGCTTCTCTAGGTCAGCATAGTTTATTTAAGCAATCAGTCGAACAAGCAGCTGGATTTTCAGTCCGTCAGTAATAACTGCGCTTAGATGCACATGTCTGAAGTTCTAGTATGAAATCTCTGATTGTTAGGGCCGGAGCAAAAATTGAGTCATTTAACTGAACTCCTTCATGTGTCCCGAAAGTTATCACGAGAAGGTCGTGAGTCAGAAAGCTCTCAAGTTTTTTGAGCAGAAGTATGAACAGAAGTATGTTAAGTTCCTAATATGTTGAGAAACTCCGAGAAGATTGATAAGATAAACTGAGTGCCCTTATCCGATACAACAACAATTAGGACTCCAAGACAGTATGACGTCCGTTGTAATTTCATAATAGTGTACCGGGAATTAACTATATTCACTAAAAAGTCTTTGGTCATTTTGAGCAAGCATCGACTCAAATGAGGGAATTCATACAATGGAATGGGACGGCAAAATCAATGTATAATGGTAACCAAGATGAATTCGGTGATAACGATGAGCCTAGCTCCGCTTTACGAGGAAATTTAAGAAAACACAACATTTTCTAAGCGCACGTTCATCAATGTTAGGCCAGCATATATAGCTAAGTATAATAGTTTTTACTATCCCGTTATCTG